AAAGTTACAAAATTTTGAGTCAGTATTTCGAAGAGTAATCGAATAGCTCGCGGAGTCCCTGGGTTTCTCTCGCGGAGCCCTGGGGCTCCGTACGGAGCACTTTGAGAACCTATGTTCTAGTGGATCTGTATACGTATAATGCAAGGATGCTGTAGCAGCAATAAACATGGCTATACAATGCAATTCAAGAGTCTTGCTGCACAATAACACAAATGTATCTCTGTAACGTTTCGACTGACCAAAATCAGACTTCCTCAGACGAAACGTTACAGAAATACATCTGCGTTATTGTGCGGCAAGACTCTTGATTTGCATAATCCTATATATTATACTGAAAATGATCAAACCTATATGAAATACACTACTTCATAATATGTTATTATCAAAATTGAAAAAAGAAGTGAAAACAGTGCTCACCCAGCATTACAACTACTTTATAAACATGATCAAAGAAGTTGAATAGAAACCAGCTTCCCAAAAACCAACGAGTATATTCGGATTATCTACATTGTCCACAACATTATCATATTGTAAATTTCCTTTCATTTTCGCGCTTGAATCTTTGCTACCGTTGAAGTATTCTCCCAACTATAACCTCTGCATAAAACATCGATCGTTCTTTTGTAAAACAAACTCCTTTATCAAAGTTATGACCTGCAAAACAACTCAAAATTGGATTAAATTGAAAAGAATTCAAACATTTTTCATATACCTTTTCGCGCGCTATGGCAACGTTATTAGATCCAAGTGACTAACTACCTATACGTTTCGCGACTGAAGACCTGTGTTTTAAATTTTGTACTCAGTGTGTAAAGTATTATGTATATTCTTTCGAAACCATGGAAACCTTTTTGTATCAGTGGATCGTGTGGACGATGAGCACTGTTTGCGCAGGACTTTACAAAACTTTCCATACGACTTGTTATATTGTTGTGTATATAAAACTGGTTAGAAGAAGAATGACTTCGGTGTTTAATAGCCGAACATGATACATCTGTGGCGAGACTACCCAAGACTATCTCCCGCGTTCCAATATATGGGGATTATGAAAGTCAATTTTCAAACTTCTTGTAATTTACAAAGAATGACATTGGCATACTATATGCAAGTGTTTCTGAATATTGATAAGTTCGAAGAATTTCGGTTTTAATAATGTGTACAGTGAATTTTTTAAAATTTAGTTCAATGTTAATATATTACAAATTACAATATATTACAATAAGTATTAACAGCGTTGCACGGTAATTAACTTTACAAGTCCCATTCATATAAGTATGTACAGTGATACATAAGATAAATAACATAGATCTGAGTGACATATGAACGATTTGTTTGCCCAACACATCACAATGTAAACTGAGAATACTTTTGCAATTTTCAGAACTCAGAATGGAAGGCGGTTCTTTAGCGAATTAGAAACGCTTATGGTATTAATTTATGTTTAATTCAAACATATATCTTCAATGATATGACTATTTTTAAGGACATTCGTTATAGATCCAGAAAAGTTTAATACCAGATCTGTTGCTATATTCAGGCGTTTCATCCACGTACCAAATATCCTCGAAAAAAATGTTAAGGCGTTATTATACATTGATTTAGTATATTGTTTAGATTAACTTTAGAATAGGTAACACAAGATTTCATAACGGACAGTATTCGTCGATGAGTTGCCTTGTTTCAATATACCTTACCAGTACTGACAACGGTAAATGCTAAAAACATGAGCATTTATATTTTGCTATCACTATTTCAACATTCAAGTGAGCATTTGAAATTTATATTCCAATCACTTTACCCATTAAATAGAATAATTCTTAGAATAATGTATATCTATGTATATTTTTCCAATTTATAAAATCGTTATTACTCAGAAAGTATCTCAGCCAAATAATTTTATTTTTATTTATAATATCTGCTTTAATGATTTGAGAGTGTTCTTAAGAAATTACGTTTATTAACCCGTTTCGAATATATATTAACAGAATTTGTTCAACTTAACAGAAATTTATCGCTGCACCGAATCATCAAGCGATGTGGATATCTGTTGTTCAAGTATTGATGTAGCTGCTTCGTGTTGCCCTCAAGAGTCAAGTGAAGTAACAAAAGCGGCTAGAGGAGGCAAATAATGTTCAATTTGCCAAATAAAATTTTTATTAGCTATCAATCAATCGATAAAATGGTTCCTTGTGTTACCTACTCGAGAGTAAATAAATTGTCACTGATAGCCTTTGAATAAAAAGTGAACAAAGCTTTGTAAATCGGAGTTTAAACAACAGACATATGCTGTTTTCTAGTGTGACTATCACTCGCCATATTTGCGCAGTAAATAATAAGATGACTTCTGGATTTACTCTGATTATAAATATGGATCCGGTCCCAATTATATTCCCAACCGATATTCAACAAACTTGCTAATACACCAATAAGTAGTTACATACATGAATTGAATTGTCAACTTGATTTCTCTATCTCATGTGATCGTCGTAATCACAGCTAAAAATAATCTTGAGAATGTTGATATTTTTGATTTATTGGACACAGACACGAAGTGAACCTATGGATCATTTATTTATTATTATTATGTTGTTGTTGTTATTGTTGTTGTTAGACATTCTTATTGTTACGAAAAAAATCGAATTTATAGTTAACTACCGGACCAATTGCTTTGAAACTTCCAGTGGTTACAGATTGTATTTTTGCTAAAAGGCTATTATTTGTATTTGTTTTAAAAAAAAATGTGGCCTCTATTTTTATTTTATTTTTTTGATGAGGATAATTATTTAATTGAAAATTGCGCTTTCGCCGGAGTTGATATCTTGTGGTCGGTTGCGTTACGGCACCGGTAGTCTGATGTTACAGATTGCATACCCATAGACCTCTTGCTTCGTTTTGGCCTTCGTATCCAAATATTCGAGCATCGCTCTCTTGTTGCGATTGTATCACTAACAGATCATCGAATTCTTTGATAACCAAGGTATAGAACCTGGCCAAACATCCATCAATATATTAAAAAAAAAAAAAGATTTAGAACTTATATATTAATTCAATAAATTCAAATTCCTGTCAATTTGTATTATAAAAATATTCAACACTCAACTTGTCATTCTAAAATGTGGATCTGATTACATCATTCCACAATTTTGAAGCAAACATAGTTTGTTTTCTGAACTGAGCTTTACGAATGATAAGTCTTGTTAGTTTTTAACATAAAACGATTTAACTAATCTGATTATTTTAAAATGTCAAACAGTTTTTAAAACTGTCACTGACATTTCAGCAGGTAACCGAGCTTGTGGATACGAGCGGGGAATAGTATTTAAAATTCTAGCAGCATTCTCTGCTGCTCTATTTGGAATATTTGTTGCAATTTTATGGGGATGTTGGATATGGATAAGTAAGTTTAAAATAAATTTGAAATGCAAACTCTTATTGTATTTTTATGAATAAAAAATAGTGTCTGTTTTTTTTTTAAAGTTTGGAGTAAAAGCATCCTATTCAAGTGATTTTTTGTTTGAGTATTTAGTGTAATATAAATTAGATTACAATTAATAAATTCTTTTTTGTCATTTATTTTACAGATTGCCTGAAAATATGTTAAGTTTTTCAACAAATTGGAATATTGTTGTTTAAATTCTCAATTTGTCAAAAAAAAAAAAACTGGTCGAGGTGGCGAGCATTAGGTTTTTCAAATCGATGTTTCTCAAATAATATCCAGTGTTCACATATCAAACATTTTATTTAATACGAAAATAAAGTTTTCAAACTCGGTATCATATTCATTATTTGGTACTCCCGTAGTATGTTTACCAGGTTGTGGTTAGGCTATAATTTTACTCCGATTTTCCCTATTTTAGTTCTATTACTAGTTCGGGGACTGCCTGTGCTAAGTGAATATACCCCCTGCCCATAGGTTTCAGTCCCTTTACACAACTTCATGCAAAATAGGCGAATAAAATTAGTTACCACCATATTGGTACAAACTCTTTTGCAGCGCCAATTATTTCATTTTGCATTGTAAATATTCTCAATTTTTAAACGAGGTGCATCTCCATTATTTTACTGAAGCATGGCTGAAGCAACCCACTAATCAATCATGTAATATCAGCAGCTAGAGTAAAATTCTCATTTCGTTTTTATTGTTTTATAAACTAAACAACATTGCTGATGTTTTTCTTTGTAGAAAGAGATATTGCAAACCACGTTGATGGTATTTTTGAGGATGTGAGAAATATACACAACTTCGGTAAATGCTTACTAGACTAGTCTTATATGGTACTTATTAGTTAAACTCTCCACCCCAATCTGTCACTTTCTTCTGTTATTGTGGCGTCGATAGTGCGTTTGTGCTATATTTTATTTTATAAGGCAGTGGTTCTTAAACTTTTTTGAGCGCGACCCAAATCTTGAGTTTTATGAACACTCGCGACCCTTTTCCCAACATCGAAGAAATTCACTCTTTTGACAGACAACGATTTATTAGAGCCAGGTCATTGAATCAGTGCGATTGATGAAACTGAGATCTTTCTTTCAATATATCTTTAATGCACGGCTCTATTTTGCTGAGTGCAATGCGCATGTCGTCACCAGGATCAAGGCGATTGCGAGCCTTAGTTTTAATGGCCACCAGTGCCGAAAATCCTTGCTCGCATAGATAAGTGGTCGCAAATGGCAGCAGAAAAGTCATTGCTTCGATTCCAATTATTGGCTTTTCCTTTTTAACCGAAGTCCAAAACTTCCCAAGCGAAGCTGTGGACAAAAGTTGTCGATGGAACTGGTCGTGATGCAGGTCAATAAACTCTTCCTGGAGTCCTGCAATATCCTCTGATAAGTCGTCAACTTTTGCCAGAAAAGGATTTCTGACCCACAGCTGACATGTCAGATTTCTGTCCGGAATATAGCGATCAAACTCTGTGATAAGGTTTTCCATATGCTCAATAAGAATTGCTTTAATGGCATCAAATCGGCAAATGGCCATCTGATTCCATTCCTCCAGATACTCATTCAAGGATGGAAACAATGCTGTTTGCCCACGCTCCAGTCTTTTCTTCCAGAGTTGCAGTTTTTTCTTTGAAGGCAGACAATCTCTCTGAGATAGTTCTAATATTTTGATTTCTGCCTTGCATTGATAAGTTAAGATCGTTCAATAATGCGAAGATGTCGTTTAGGTAACATACTTTGAGCATCCACTCTTTGTCTTCGAACCGAATAGCATGACGATGTTTTTTATCATTGAGAAAGAACTGCACCTCTGTTCGTAGATCGACCAGGCGGCGCAATAGCTTACCGCGAGAAAGCCATCTCACATTTGAGTAGAACAGGAGATGATGGAATTGAGATCCGAAATCGACACACATCTGTTCAAACAGTCGAGAGTTAACAGCACTAAATTTGATAAAGTTGACGATACCAACAACCTCCTGCATCACTGCCGATAAATCCGACGACAAATGTTGCGCTGCAAGGTTTTCACGGTGTAGAAGACATTGGACGATTTGTACATTAGGATTGACTTGCTTGACTCGTGCTGTAAACCCCTGTCGTGCACCAAGCATCGCGGGAGCGCCGTCAGTACATAAGCTGACACAGTTTTTCCAGTCTACGCCTTCTTTTTTGTGAAAGTTGTCCACAACGTTGTAGATGTCGGCGCCAGTTGCCGTTGTTGTCAGTGGAGTACAAAATAAAAATTCTTCTTCGAGGTCCAACTCACCCTCATACCTCACGTAAACCATTAGCTGCGCGTCCTTTCCTGTGTCAGTTGACTCATCAAGTTGATAGCTCCACTTTCCCGCTCTTCTCATCCGGGCAACCACTTGGTTTTTTATATTTAATGAAAGGTCTGCGATGCGACTTTTGACGGTGTCATTTGATAGCGAGACGGATTGCAATTTCGAGGCCACATCATCACCACATATGAGTCTGGTCATGTCAATAGCTGCAGGCTTAACAAGCCGTTTTCCAATAGTGTGTGGTTTCATTTCTCTAGCTATTCGTTGAGCCACTACATACGATGCCAGCGTGGCTTGCTTGGAACCAAAAATCGCTGGGTTCGTTGCTGAGCAAAATCGACTTCGTTTCAGTTCGGCTTCTCTATGCTGAAAATAAATACGATTCTTTTTCACATACTGAGGGTGTTTTGTTTCAAAATGTCTCTTCAATTTGTTTTCCTTCAGAGATTCGTTTGATAACACTGCATAACACAGCACACATTGTGGCTTTGCAACACCATGATCGTTGATAGAAGTGAACCCAAACTCCAAAAAATTTTGCTTGTAGGAATGCTTACTCATATTCAAATGCTAATCTTTAACGTTAATACTAGCAATATAATTTGCTACATTTCAGTAAGTTGGGGATCTACTGCTACGAAAACTGAATCTTTCCATGTATCAACTCAGGTATCACACTGAGGCAATGTCATAACCAGGGCAAAACCGACCGGGAGCCCGACTTATCCCATTTATATTTATTGCGAAAGTCTAATTGTACGCGAATAACCACCTAACATGTATGAAGCTGGAGCCAATGGGATATTTTAAAACAAACTTGACCTGACATAAATAATTGTTGTTTAACAAAGTAAATTTCACCTTGCTACCAAAAGTAACAACAAAACATGACCCACTACCGGTATAATTGAAAGGCCTGTCCCTCTCGAGTATGATATGATACCTAGACCCTAGCCCTAGGACAAACTAGCAATATAAAACTTTTCCCGCATCAGAGTGATCTTTAGATCTCAAATCTACTAATGTCGACGGGCAACTTCTGTTTTGCCTCTTCAATACGAATTCACGCTACCAAAGAAGACCTCCACTTTGGATTATTTTCGCGCGGCGAACACGACGAGCGACGTGCATGGACCTTTCCCCGACCTTTGACCCCCGGAAAATTCTTCCTATACTTTACCATTGCAGAATTTTCAGGGCTATTTTAGGAGTGCTTTTGCGAGTTGGCGCCTGTAAAATGGGGTATGTGTTTCAAACCATCATTAGGATTCATCGCACACAACAATCTGTTTTTTAAAAGTACCGGTAAAGAATTTCAGGCTAGTCTATCACAGCTATTTCTACACTAATTTTTATTACTGCAATTAAATTAAAACTCCTAAGAAGACAGAGTGATCATTGAATTATCTGATTTTTATTCAAGTTTCCGAAACACAACTGAAAACTAACGAATAGAGTTCAAAAATGCGAAAACGAGGTCATGTTTACAACCACGCTTGAAAATCTGTCTGAGTGAGAAAAGTGTCTGAGCGGATGCGAAAAGGGGGCATTGTTACGTCACTTTTTGCATCTTGCTGATTGGCCAACGTCACGGAATAAACAAGGAAGTCGATGCTCGGGGAAAGGTCCATAGCTACTGGTACCATAAAACAAGACACGTGACTGGTATCTGTATAAATTGTGACGCAACAATGTACTCAAGACAGTTCCTTCCGTGCACGACGTATTATACAATATTTCACTGCTTTAAACATTGGATCAGCTGAAATATTTGGTCCTGAACTCTTTACACATCCATGCACTGACAACTGTGGCGCGACCCATTTCCATACCCTCCCCGACCCATGTTTGGGTCGCGACCCATACTTTAAGAACCACTGTTATAAGGCATAAAAAAATCAAATCAAAATAAAGTGAATATAAAATTATAATGTTCAACAAAGATCCAATTTCTAAGTTTTTAATTTGCTTTTTGCAGATGAAGTCGAAGATATCGAAGAAATAAACAATTCAATTGCAGCAGGTGAGACAGATATGGGGATTTTTTTAAGGCATTTTCTGAATATTATACAGTTCCTTATGCTATACTCTATATGCTATATGGAAAACTTGACATACAAGTACATGTATTTGACGTGCCACAACAATTTTTGCATATGTTATTTCTAACTCCCATCTGGCTGGGTCACCCAAAGATTACGTCACTACGACCTCACAATCACATCAAGGAGCTTGCCAAAGTAGAGTTGAGATCGACCGAAATGGCATCTTCACCGACGATAACGAATCTCACTAACGCCAGCGGCCCAGCGATCTCTCTCATATCGGGATCGTTTCATAGAGAAAACGAGAGAAATAGCTTGTTCGATTTCCGGTGATCGACTGCGCGTTTTGGATGGCAGTTACTATAGATTGGAGGGCCTTATTACGTAATGTGACGTCGTGGTGACGTAATTTTTTAATGACGTAGCCAGGTGGGAGTTACGGATAAGATATATAAAAAGAGTTGCGCCACGTCAACTAGAAGTACTTACGTCGTTTTGTGAACATGACCCGAAAAATTTGATGCCTGAACATTTGATTTGAAATGATTCACTTTTATCCGTAATAGTGCAGCAAGAAACGTACGGGTAAAGGTAAATGTTGATATTGCTATTACCAGATTTACCACCAGACTGGACCAACATACCAGTCGGCACCGCATACAACAAGAGACAAATTTTTCATGGAGATCCAGAGTATAATGACGTGTTAGCAGCATTTCAACAAAACGGACTACCGCATTGCAGAGTATCAAAGGTTAATCAACTTTTTCATAATAATTAATTTTCAAATTCAATCAATTATCTTTAAACAATTGCATTTATTCAATTAAAATCTATAAATTTTTTCAAAACATTACAAACATCAACTTCAATTTAATTAATTAAAGTTAGATGGGTCTATTCTCCATAAAATTGTTTTCAAAATTGGTCAGTTACTTTTGAGATATGGAAGGCACTGGAAAATAGACTATAAATAAAATTGTAGTTTTTTCAAAAACTTCACAAATTAAATGTAAACCTTATGTCTTGATCTAGAATTTAAATTTTGCATTTTGTAGATTAATTAAATATTGCTTAATGAAATATAATTGAAAACTTGATCAATTCCAAAAATCCTTTTTCAAATATATTCGGATGAGGGTAAAATGAAAATAAGGGTACATTTCCTATATATCTTCTATTGAAATATTGGGCACCATCAATCGGTAATGAAATACGACACTCTTTAAACTTTTGCTTTTTGTTACCTGGAATATATATTTCTCGCCCTAAAATCATATTATTTATTAATTGTTGATAAGTTATCGTAATTGCGCGAGGGAAGAGAAGATTGAAACATGTAAGCAAAGATTAAAAAATTGTGAGAATTAACAAAAATCATTTTTTACAAGACGATCGTGAAGAAATGTAGAATTAGTTACAAGACCAGAAATGTAGAATTACTTCTTCGACACCCTGGTACAATCATATTTTTTAACGATTCGTACCTCTTTGACTGTGGGATAACAGTTTTTGCACTTTTCACATTTGATTTTACGTGAATCAAGTGTAAAATATCCACCCGCAAATATTACTGTCGTTACAAAAATAGTAACTGCTTGCAAATCATTCAGTGCCTGCTAGTATATGGCAGTATTCAGTTATTTGTTGCCTAAGCACGGACTTGATTGTTGAGGCATCCGAAACCGACTAGCTGTTACGTGAAGCAACCTACGTCGGCAACGAGTCAAGCAAATTATCCACAAGGAATTCGAACCAAAGAATTCACACAGGGTAATCAAAACGCCGAGCGTATTCTAAATCCTTAGCACAGATGACGTTAATTTCCATTTAATTCCTTACTTGCAGATAAGTCCCTGCCTACTAACATAATAATATTCTTACATTAAGATTGAAAAAATACAAAATCCAATGATTTTCAAGCAATTCAAAAACAGAAAGAGTTACGTGATGGAGAAATACAACGGCCATGAAGTAACAAAATTTCTTTTTCATGGAACGCAAGGCCGCCACGTTGAAAGCATTTGTTCATCGGGATTTGACGTGAATTTTGCAAGAGATAATGGTATGTAATGTTTTAGTTTTATAACCCATTGATAAAAAAAGATTAAATTAATTTTTCAGGGGTAAAAATCTTCATGGTCCTATATTTCACAGTGTAGGATCGCGAGCGAGTCTGCGATTAGATATCGGTTTTCAAATTTTATGTATTCGAAATTTTTGTTATTCTCTACATTTGTTTTTGATAACTACAAATAAAAACATCCCACCAATATGCGCCCTAGTGTTGATTTTCGAAAGAAAATTGAAATAAAACTCTGTCTTATTTTTGAGTGAATACGGTAGTACCTTCTCATATCAGCAGGGCTACAAAGGTATGAATAGATTAGTGGTTTTTCTATTTTCTGGTGCCGCGGAACCCCATTGTTATTTTTCAGCCGGTCAAAAAAACACTCTGCATTAATTTAATTGTCTTTTGTTGTCTTAATCGATTAAACTATAAATATAAACATAAGCAAACCTAACACTATCACATCAACTTGATTTGCAAGTTGAACGATAGCGGCAAACCCAATAGGTATTAGATTATGTTTTCACAGTATGCATATAATATTATGTAAAATCTCGATTTAAATGAAATCTTGTGGAAACCCTGTATAGTGGCCTACTGGCGCAACTCTGGGGATTCAGCGAAAAGCTGGTTGACAACCACTGCTAAAGTAAATGTCAGTTATAATAATTCACTTTCATTTTTGAATTGTATAACAGGACGTAAGTTTGGCAAAGGAGTTTACTTTGCACGGCAATCATCCTATTCATTGCACTACATCGGTGAAACCAGAGAACGATCGATGTTTTATGCAGCAGAGGTTATAGTTGGAAAATACACCAAAGGAAGCAAAAATTTATGTGAAAAACCTATTGGTTATGACAGCGTTGTGAACAATGTAACGAATCCTACTGTATTTGTTGTTTTTCGGGAAGCTAGTTCTTATCCAACTTATTTAATCACGTTTATAAAGTAATTGTAATGTTGAAGGACTGTTTTTACTTCTTGATAATAACATTTTATGAATTAACGTATTTCATGTAAGTTTATCATTTTCAATATATTATATGTGAATTTTTCTTTTTCAAGTGTTATGATAAGGTGTGATAGTAGTCGGCTACTGAAAAAAGGTTGCAAATATTAGACAGCAGTCTTCTTTAATAAACATCTCTGAGACTATTCAAGCTTTTAGGAATTCAAGAATGACGATATTCAAACTACAAATAAGTATTTCAAACTCCAACTGCAAATAAGAATCACTCAAAATGGGTAAATTGAGTTTGATAATATTTTTGCTTTTGTAAAATTTTTAAATAGTTTTGGACTTCCCTTTTATTTTCCCAATTAACATATTTCCCACTCACAATACAACAGCATTCGTAGATGTAGCACAATTTTTATTTCCAAAATTGAATAACAAAATACACAAGTAATAATGGATGCCAACCAAAGAAGCCAAAACTATA